CTAAAAAATTGCAAGAAATAAAGATCTTTTTTTAATCCATGCTATTTATTTTATGCTTATGCATGCGACCCACTGACACACCGCTATAGGGAACCACCTTTAATACTCCTAATTTTGTCTCCAGTCTTATAGTAAGTATAAAACAGGTGATTCTGGGCTTTGAAAGATTAGTTAGCAAATATCTGTAATATCCCCTAAAGCAAGACTGCTCTCCATCTGGCACATCATCACCAGGCTTTTAACAGCAGGCAAAGCATCTGTGGTCAGAGTTTGATGTCCATTACGGGAAGCCAAGATTCTGCTGTTGGCTTGACAGGTTTGAGATTTGAGAATAAGGATCATCAAGGGGGAGGTAGATTGATGCCCTCATGGTCAGGCTAAAGCTGTTTGATACTGTCGGCTAGACTCAGGTCCCATCTCAATTTGGTGAGCAGTGGAGATAAGCCTGCCGGTGGTGTGCGCTAAAGCCATCCATCCATCCTGGTGCCAATAGAATGATAAGAAGCCTGGCGTGAATGTGTTAGCTGGAGGGTTACAGACATTTCTCGCCAACATAATGAATTTTAACATGCTACTGCAAAAAAAAAATATATTTAAATAAAAATACTATATTATATGAAAAAAAAACAAGACAAGAATTAATTTGTATTAATTTTCACACTCTCATTCTTACATTTTAGTACAATTTGCTCATCCACCAATGAGGGATATTGTTATTTATAGTATACTGTACAGTATGTTTAAAGTGGGGTTTGGGGACATGTCTCCAAAATCTTAAAGGGCACCTAGGTTACCCCTTTTTCAGATTTAATATGAATCTTTTGTGTTTCCAGAATGTCTCTGTAAAGTTTCAGCTCAAAACACCCATCAGATTTTTATTATACCTTTTACAAGTTTCTCTTTTATACCTTTTTGCATCAGGTAGCGGTTTTGTTGTACTGCGCCTTTAAGGATAGTCCTCCCCGTCCACCGTTTCCACGTGCCCTAATTTCCTCCCTCGATTGCGTCAGACAACAGACAGACTTAAAGGAAGCAGAGTAAAAGAGCATATTTCATGAGTTATATATTTTATAAAGCACAGAATAAAAACTTAAATTAGAGTCTTCTAAATCTGGCACCTGGTAGTTAAAACCTTGTCTGACAAAATCTATTTAATTAGCAGTCAAACTTTCCAGTTTTCACCGAATTTGCAAGATGTTGAGCTGTTGAAGAGACAGAAAGTCTACAACAGCAGGCTGTCCAGATGACGGTCACAGGAACCCTTTTAGCCATAGCAAAACACGATTTCTAGAATGTTGTTTTCAGAAGCAAGTGTTTGGCATTTTATGAAGCTCTATAGAAGAGTGAATACTAATACTTCAAAAACTAATACATCAAAAGCTCCTCCAGCTTGTTCTCTATGTTCACTTAGCCACCAACTGTTATGCATTTCTACATATCAATGTTGCTGTCACACAATTAAATGTTTAAAGAAGTTCCTTGAAGTTGAAAACAATGACATAATGAAATGGCAGAACCAGAGTCCTGACCTACACATGACTGAATTTCTCAGAAAAATCATTGTATGTGCATCATGAGTTATACCTAAGAAATCCAGTCAGTAAGCTGTGGAAAAGACTCCAAGAAGAGAGAACCATGATCAAATCAGAACAGTATATAAGACAGATGACGTTTTGTGGCCTCAGATGTGCTGAATGGATTCAAAGCAAGGGCCTATAGACTTTCTACAATTTTTAAAGGGAAGTTCACGCAAAAAGAAAGTATTATTTATGTAATTTGAACAATTCACTTGCCCTGAAACCATTGAATTTCTTCATTCTGTTGAACACAAAAGATGATATTTTGGAGAATGCTGAAAATGTGGAACCATTGACTTCCATAGTAAGAAAAAAATTACTATTAAAGTCAGTGGTTTCAAATTTCTTCGACATATCTTATTTAGTGTTCAATAGAAGAAAGAAACTCATAAGCGTTTGAAACAAGTAAACGGTGAGTAAATGATGACAATTTAAAATTTTGGGTGAACTATCCCTTTACCTGATGTAATCTTCAGAAATATTATTTGTGATCTTTCTTTGGTCTACTATTACTGTTGATCTCTAATTTTGACCACAAAATGGTTGTTGAAGAGCCTTTGGTCATCCAGTAAAACACTGTTAGCATGATATAGCCACAACTAAAACTCCTTAATGGGCAAAGATTACATTATTTCTGAAAAAAGAATGCAGAATATTTATAATGTAATTTAATGTACATTATTTTAAGTTGTTCCTCCAACACAGATCTATCTATCTATCTATCTATCTATCTATCTATCTATCTATCTATCTATCTATCTATCTATCTATCTATCTATCTATCTATCTATCTATCTATCTATCTATCTATCTATCTATCTATCTATCTATCTATCTTCTAAACTTCATTTCAGGCTGAAAAGTTATGGAAAATTTCAAGCCGCAGGGTGTAAAGACAGTTCGGTGGGGTTTGCTTACTGTGGACTTGGCCTCCTGCGGTATCTATGGAAACCCCCGTCTGCTTCGGCAGTCTCTGTAAGAATTTAATAGGTATACCTGCGTTCCCAGGGTGACCAGACGGCAGATAAAGCTGGTGTCAGTCACAGCTGTTCTTTGAGAACACGTCCATTATTGTCGGAGCGCACTCATGATTTAATTGCTTGTGAGTAACACTTCACATTACAACATCATCCAGATGAACTGCGGTGTATAATGGACCAGTGATTAATATGAGCACAATGTGTATGTTGTAGAGCAAAGCTGTGCATTACAATCGAAGCAGTGTGACCTAATGTGCTCCTAAATCTGACATTTTTGGCCTGTTTTAAAGGTAGAAATTTGGAGGAATAGTTAAAAAAGATTAAATGAAAATAAAATTAAGGACTGGATGTTAGTTTTGTTTAGTTTTTTTGTATTTATACAGTATGGTGAATGATTGAAAGAGACAGCAACATGCACATCACAACCACATAGATTAGATCTGGTTAGCCTGTCAGAGGTTTCCACCTTGTGATCAACAAGTGAACTGCAGTTGAATGTGTGCATGCTGTACATATGTTCTGGTACATATTGTGCTCGTTCAAAAAAGTAAAATAGGTAAATTAATCTTAAGGGAATGGGTACACTTGAACTAAATTTGCTTCCCTATAAAACTTAAAACATATTTTAAAAGGGTTTAATGTGTTTATGTAACATTAATAATCGTAAGGAAATGGGTACACTTGAACTAAATTTGCTTCCCCATAAATTTTTTATGTAAAATAAACACAAGGCCTTAATAGTCTGATAATAACACTTATAACTTGAGTAACGTTAGAGCCTAAAACATAACAAGCTTTAACAAACCAATTACAGTAACGTGAAATAACAAAGTAAGAAGGTATAGAAGTAAACATGTATAGTAGGTAGTTGTGTGGGCAAGTTAAAGTACTCTAGATACAGAAAGAAAGAAGTTCTCTTACCTGTAAACATCCATAATGTGTATTCATATCTGCAGCGTCTTCCTTTAGAGACACTGAAAACAATCGGATTATATTTACAAGCCTGAAAACACAGACAAACTTTAGACAATGTGAAAACAACTTTCTTATCTAAGTCTAAAGTAGTCATCCATTAATGTACTATTTAAGAATAGTATTGCTAATGAAACTGTTAAAACAGTGATGACATTGAGTTACCAATTCACGACAGATATAGGCTAATTTGGTCATTTTGACCTAACGTTAATTTATAACATGTTTTAAGACAGGATTCATCTTTACAAACATTTACCTGGATTAAGTACGCATGTGTTTACGATACTTTGTTCTGTCGACGTTTGTTTGCGTGTTTGTAAATTAACGCCACTAATTACTGCACGCGCATATCAAATCTCCATGACGTAACAGCAATTAAAGAGACCGCACCCTTTGTGATCAAAACAACACATTTGCTACAAATAACTATTGTGCTTTTCTGAATAAAGGACTCTGACAATTTGTCAGAATTAAATAGATGTTATGCCTTACCTAATTCAGCCTCTACGGAGGTTTCTCTAGTCTAGGGAAAATGTGTGAAATTGGCTTTATTTTTACATGTAAATGAAAATGGAACACGTGGGCACAAACAAAAATGTTTTTAATATATATTTTTATATCACATTTATTTCGTTTTTTCACATATGCAAACAGCACAATCAATGAACAAGACAAAAACATTCAATAACAACAACAAAATAGATTATAACATAAAATAATACAAATAAAATATATTTCGTTTTGCAATTAACCAAAAGACAACATAAGATAGGTCAGAACTTATTTTAGAACCTTTTTTGCTCTAAGTAACATCATGGAATTCTCATACTAACACTATATATATATTAAAATAGCATCAGTATTGCAGGAATGATTAGGACAAATCCACATAAACGTGTGGAAAAGCCCTTCAGCACCAAGGACAGGGACAACAATTCAGTACCAGCTTTTACTGCATGTGTGATGACAGACAGGTAGAACAAACAGATCTCTTTGCCGCGCTAAATGATTTAAAATATGAAATGTGTATGAAAATAATGTGAGATAAGTTTTTAACAAAAAAATAAGACAAGAATTCAGATCTAGCAAACAATAACAAGACACCCTTAGCACTAAACAATAAAAATAATAATAAATTACAGGAAAAAATATGTTAATATTAAAATTATACAATATTAATAATTATAATTATAATTATAATTATACTACTACTACTACCACTAATAATAATAATAATAATAAATAATAATAATAATAATAATAATAATAATAATAATAATAATTCCAGCTGAAAGGGAATCCGCTGCATAAAACATATGCTGGATAAGTTGGCAGTTTAGCCAAAAGAAAATGAATAAATGAATGAATGAATGATAATAATAATAATAATAATAATAATAATAATAATAATAATAATTATTATTATTATTATTATTATTATTATTATTATTAGTATTATTAGTATTATGTAAAAAAAAAAACAGCTCAAACAGTTATTGTAGGGAGTTTACTCATTATTCTTCTTTTCATCTGGCTTCCCTTCCTAAACTCTGTAATAAACAAAATTAGTCTCAGTAAATTCTGAAATATTCTCAGAATGTGTAGACGGTTGGTGACTACTTTAACTAAAAGCAAATGATAACAAGTAAGTAGATGAACAATCATATGTTTTTTACTACATTGGTTACCGGAAGTGAACATAATATTTCCTGACTGGAACACCCCCAGACTCACTGATCACAGCTCCATCATTTTGTTCACAAGAGAAGACTTCATCATAATTCTTCAGTGTCACTTCTAAAGACATACAGCAGATGCTTATTATGTAAATACATTTCATGACAAAGAAAACAACTTAAAAAAAGACTATAAAATTACCTTCGTGCAGGGTTGTGACGTCATCATAACTCTGATTCATGACATCTTTGATAAAATATAAAAATAACATTTGTTTTTTTTAATTTATTAGGAATGCATTTACATTTTTAAAAGCTTAGGTATGAAAATTCTCACATTTGTGTACATCACTGAGGCACTCTTTAGAAGCATCTTGGTCCAGTTTGTCTGCATAAATAATAAAAAATACACTTGATAAAAAATAATAATAAAATAATAAAAAATAACAATAATAACAATAATAATAATAATAATAATAATAATAATAATATTTTTATTATTAATGATAATAATAATAATAATATTATAATATTATTATTGTTATTATTAATTAATAATGAATTTTATTATAATTAATAATAAAATAATAATAATAATAGTTATACATATACATATATACATATATATATACATATATACATATATATATATATATATATATATATATATATATATATATATATATATATATATATATATATATATATAATATAAATTTCTATATAATTTTAAAGTTTCACGCATGGTTTAATGATGAAATTAAGTGTCAGTTAATGTCTTGGCAGAAAATTTCCAAAATATTCTCATTAACAGTTTTTCGAACGGTGTAGACCCAATATAACAAAACCAGCAAATAGTTTTACAATGAACCTAACATTAATACAAGAGTTCAGACACATGTAGATATTTACACTTGTTCAAACTCCCCTGACACCTGTGAGCTTTTTCACTGACTCCAGTATGTAAAAACACTAGTATGCAAACACAGCACTGTGGTTTTCACTGCTGAATACTGTGGTTAAAAGCAGGAAGACTAACAGGATTAACAATTTAACCATGTCAAAAACAGCAGTATGCAAAAAAATAAAATAAAATCCCCCAATGCTATTTTGTCTACTCAAACCTACAGTTACATTTTTTATTATAAATAATAAAACCAATCTGTTTTCGCATGCTCACCCCCCTGAGTGAAGTGTTTGTGCTGAATCTCCTCATAAACGGCCTCAGTGGTGGTTTTGTGTCTCCTCTTAGAGAGAGCTGTGAGTGTCGACACACAAACCTGCTGTTAGTTCACAACACATGACTGATCACACACTGAAGAAGACACAATATGACAGTCTCTGGATCTCTCCTACCTCTCCTCATCACTCTGTTCTGCTGAATCAGTATAAGCAGCGGCACTAAGAGCAGTAAGAGCACAACTCCCAGTACAATCACCAGAACTGGGGGGACTGGGAGAGTTTCTGGACCAGTTTGTGGAGGAGAGACTGATGTTGAGCTCACTGTCTGAGAAACTGCAGCAGAAGATGATGCTGATGTGGAAAGAGTAGTGGACACTGACAAACCTGACAAGTCTATTAAAACAGATTCAAAATCATGCAAATTACTAATTAAAATAAATAAAATTACTAGAATTCAAATAATCAAAAAATCTGTCAGTGACCTGCACAGGTGAGTCCAGCATGCTTTTCATGGGAGCAATCATTGTGCTTCTTCAGGGAGAAAGGACAGTCCCACAGGTGAAGCTCATTCCCTCTGCAATGGACTCCGTTCAGCCACACAACACCTTTACCAGCACCAAAGGTTGAATTCCCATCAGCCCTTAGTGCTGCTCCACAACCCAGCTGCCTGCAGACCACCTGAGCATCACTGATGTCCCAGAGATTATCACAGACTGAGCCCCACACAGCGTTATGATACACCTCCAGCCTCCCAGAGCACCGGCCGTCCCCTCCACGCAGTCTGAGAGGAACATGTGCTGAAACACACACATAATTGGTCAGTTAAGTACTAAATGTTTCAAACTACATTTTTTGTTCAAATATATAATATAACCTCCTCACCTGAACACTGTTTGTGGTGAGGAAATGCTGAACATGTCAGATGACTCTTTGGTGACTCATCAGTCTCTTTTTCTGAAATGACAATATTTGAAACTCTGATGTTTATCAAAACATATCATTTAACCTTTAATAACCCTTTATATAAAATCTTACCAGAGCAAGTGATTTTGGCCACCTCATCTATATAGCAGTGGTTCTTACCCCAGGGTAAAGATGGACAATGATACAATGTTTTGTCATGTTTTCTGCATTTAAGATGATCCAACCATTTAGGAGCAGATCTCAGGCTCACTGAATGACTGGGTTCACTGCCAGATCTTCCACAGTTCAGCTCCTGACAGATCAGACTCGCTGTGTCTCTGTCCATCTGATTTAAGCACACATTTCCCCAGGATCCATTGTAGAAAACCTCCACATTCCCTTCACAGCCGTCAGTTAACCTGATCTCTGTAAATTCTAAACGGATGGCATACAATTAAATTCAGTAATGTTTTTTTTTTTTTTTTTAAATAGTAAATTATTATTTAACAATACAATACAATATTCCAAATATTTAAAAAACTATTTAACTATACTGTAGTAGAAGCTACAGTAATTATCATAAGTAAATCTTTACCAGAGCAGATGACTCCTACATCCTCCTCGTGTAGACAGTCATGTTTTCCCCAGCCTGGAGAAGAGCAGCTCCACAGGGACGTCTCATTCCCCTCACACTCCACCTCATCCAGCCAAATATGTCCAGAACCAGGACCAAACCAGGCTGGTACCTGCTGGTTACTGAGGGCCACTCCACACTGCAGCTGTCTGCACACTACATGGGCATCTTTAATATCCCAGGAGTCGTCACACACTGTCCCCCATGAGCCGTTGTGAAAAACCTCCAGCCTCCCTGCACAGTCTCCCCCAGAACCCACCAGCCTGATGGACCCGCGGCCTGATATTCAGAGAAAGAGAAACACATTATTGATCAGGAACAACTCCAGAATCTGCCCAGATGTTGTTGTTCTCACCAAGGCAGGTGATTGACAGCTGTTGTGTGGAGCTGCAGTTGAGAGTTTGTGGAGAGCTGCAGTTCCCCAGATGAGCTTCACTCCCAGAGCACTGGAAGCCCATCACACACTCATGACTGTGTTCAGGACTGGATGAAGAGGAGCCCGAGAAGTTGAGCACAGAGCCACAGCCCAGCTGTCTGCAGACCACAGAGGATTCAGTGAGACTCCAGGAGTCCAGCAAAACCTTCCTCCAGACCTGCTGGATCAAAACTTCCACCTGCCCCTCACACTGACTCTCTCCAGACAACCGCACCAAACCCTCATGAAGAGGCAAAGACGAGTCTGAAGAAAAACATGTGGCAGTTTATTAAGATATTAATACAAGTAATTTATTAATGTATTCTAATAAAATGTCCGCACTAGAGCAGATGACTCCAACATCTCGTCTATGAGAGCGTTCAGCTCGACTCCATGAAGAGATTGAACATTCTGAGAGTTTTGTTTCATTCCCGTCACAATCAAACACATCAGCCCAGATTTCACCACTTCCCTCTCCAAACCAGTCTGATCCCACAACGGACACAGGAATCCCACAATTCAGCTGTTTACAGAGGACATTGGCAGCTCTCATATCCCAGCATGCATCACATACTGTGCCCCATTTTCTGAGATACTGAAGCTCCACTCTTCCAGAACAAGAGTCTGAACCATTTACCAGTCGGAGATCAGTGTAACCTGTGTGGAGGTTATTGAAACAGTTTATGGTCACTTTAGGAGAATTAATCAGTTTATATGTATCTAACTATATGTATATTTATGTAAAGAGCAGTCAAATGTTACTTAACCAGAGCATATTACTCCTACAGCATTTTCAAGGGTACAGTGTGAAGACTTGAACGCAGGACAGAAAACCAGGTGAGACTCATTTCCTCTGCAGTGAATCTCTTGTGTCCACATCTGAGATTCTACTTTACCAAAAGCAGCAGCTCTCAGCACCTGTACAGGAACCCCACAGTCCAGCTCTCTACACACAACCTCTGCATCCTGCTGGTCAAAGCCAACATCACACACTGACATCCACGTCTTTATGTTTTGTATCTCTAATCTCCCAGCACACAGATGAGGTCCATTTATGAGTCTGGGAAGGCGACCTGCATGTTAACATTTTCATGAATAAACACCAAAATACAAGAATTTTATTAATAATGAGTTGAATGAATAATAAAAGTTTTCGGCTTTGTTTTTACCAGCCAACTTACCCAAACAGACAACTCCAGCATCTTCATCGTGTTTACAGTTACTTACACCCCTCCTCCTTGATTTACAATCCTTCAGTCTTGACTCTGATCCTGTACAATTAACTGCACCCATCCAGATTGGTCCTGATCCCCGTCCAAAGCGAGCAAGGCCAGCAGCACGTAATGCTTTATCACAGCCCAGTTCTTTACAAACCACTTTAGCATCATTTAGGTCCCAGCCATCATCACAGACTGTTCCCCACTGACCTTTATGATACACCTCTACTCGACCAGCACAGGGGCTGTTACCATCAACTAATCTCACTTCCCCTGTACACAAGAAAGGGAAAGACAGTCTTGTATAAATTTCTGGAACTGTATGCTCTCCAGAAACATTTTACTATAATTCAAACTTTTTTAACAATTGTTTTTACTATTTTTTTTACTCAACTAGTTTGGAAATGTGACACATGACGTTGCTATTTAAATGAAAAGGACATACTTTTTTTTTTATAGTGGGAAAAAAAAGTGACAGCAACACTGATACTATACCAGCTGAAGTATCATGATACCAAGTAGTATTGCGCTACTTTAAATCATAACTCAAATTATAAAGAAAATGGTCAGAATTACTATATTTTACATGTTATAATAGGTCTTCAATTTAATTCATAATTCCCTTATTATTGAAAAAATTATTATTCGCACGTCACTTCACCTAAAATTCATTATTTTTGTTTATTTTGTAGATATCTGACCAACAAAAAATACATTAAAATAAAGATACAAACTATACCAAATGAAATTTGCTACAAAAGAGCATTTTTCCAACAACATTAGTCTAAATGAAGTGGCCAAAAAATGCTTCCTGTTGCTATTTTGGGTTTTTCATCTATATATTTTTTTATCGGGTAACAATCCAAAGTAATTCAGAATTTCACTTCGTGAGTCGTTCTCTTTAAGAGATTGCTGTGGTTGTTGTAGCTACTAAATCATATTGAGAGAAACAGAAATGAATCGATTCAGATGTGAGTTTTAAACTTCAGAAAACATCAGAAAACTTGCAACCTTAGTTCCACAAACTATTCTAATAAAATGGTCTATTGTTGCAAAAACGTGTGAGTTTTGTAGTGATTTTTCCTCCACATCTAACATTTACTGTAGATAAACCATTAATGAGGATACTACCATTTACAAACCACAGTAGCACCGCCAGTATTTTGAAGCCATAGTATCGTGATACTACCATAGTACCAGTAAACCGTGCAACGAATGCATTAGTTTATTAAGATAATTAATTCTAAACATCATTTTAGACGCACAAGATTTTGCACACTAGGCATACTTTTTATATTAAACAACTAAATAAATAAACAAACAAACAAACAAACAAACAGACAAACAAACAAACAAACAAACAAACAAACAAACAAACAAACAAACAAACAAACAAACAGGAAGATTCCCTTAACTGAAGATTACCTTACCTTCATTGGGGAGTGTAACAACTGTAGATATCAAAAGGACTGTCAGACAGCTCTTCATCTTCATCTCCTCTACAACCTCTCGTGAGATTCTAAAGAAAGAGAGTCTTCTTATCACTTTTGAGAGTTAGCAGAGGAAATCAGCAGCTTCGGCAACAAATCAGACAGAAGCATTTTCAGTTTTTTCGATATATATCCAGCTACTTATAAAGAGAACTCCTCCCATACCTCAGAAAAACGCTTCACTGAGTACGCTGTGAAAAAATAAAGTTAAAGTGCTGACATCTGACATGAGTAGAGCGATTGTGGGAAACACTTGAGTGTAGATACAGCGTCAAAGTCTGGCACCTGCAGTGAAAGATATGAGCACTGATAACTAACTGCTGATATGAACAAGAGATATTTCAAAGGACTATTCCTTTGAACACACACTATTTAGTTATATTAAACATTTACATTTTGTGCACACAAATCCAGTGCTACAACAGATTGGGTTGCAACATTCCCCAGTTTCAAGACAATAAAATAACACCATTCAAATTCAAGTTTGATTTTATTCCTCATCAGAAAACATTCGAAGCAATTCAACACATTTAAACTGGATTAAAATCTAAAACAGCTACTTAAAATAATACAAACATAAAGTCTCAATATTAAAAAGTGTATACAAACAATGTCTCATTGTCAGAAACCTCCTCTGCTAAATATAAAGTGAACAATAAGCTCTTCTGCTAGTTTAAAGGAGTTATTACATTCTTATGAAGATCCCATGGTAGCTGTTTATCAAGATATTTCTCAAAGTACATTCCTAGGTTAATCAAAAAATATAAAAGTCCACCATCAGAGGGTCTACAGTATATTCAATGGGAATATTATGTTTACAAGACGAAGTATTTGTAAAATGAGACTGGAACAGAGGAGGATACATGTTAAATGGATAAATGGATGGCATCTGAAATCATAATTAATGTTTATAAAAACTGTGTGAATGTTGGGTGGAAAATAGGTTATATTAAACAGAAATGTCTGCATGACTGAAATTAAATTACATCATAAAACATCTGAAAAAGAAACTTAAACATTCTGAAAAGGCCATGAGAGCAAGTTATAATTATATTAAAAAGATAAAAAAAAACATCATTACAAAAAATATAGGGAAACAACAGCAGAACATTTGATAGCATCTTCTTAAATCTACCGAAAACTTGCTTTAAAACAAAAGAAACACTCTGTGTGGCTAGGTTACACATTTGCTTCCAGTTTTTCTGGTTCTTCCCCCACATCATCATAAGCTGGTATTAGAAAAAAAGCAAAAACAATTGAATCAATATAAGCTTTTAAAAAGTATAATTATGAACTCCTCGATAGCAGCAGTCAACTTAAATAAGCTGTCATTATCACAGGAAATAAGAAAATATCAAATTAAAAGGTGTCAATAACGTACCAAACATGTCACTTGCATACTCCCTGACATCAGAATCACCACAATCCTCCTCACTCTCTAAAATAAATGCTTCAGTTATTAATTTAAATATTATCTGCTAGTATAATTTTTTTTTTTCTAAATGTACACAAGTATCATCTAAAGCACACACCTGCTTTATCATTGGAGAGTTGTCGTACAACGACGACATCATCATAGTTTTCTGACACATCATCTATAAAAAAATAAAAACAACTTAAACAAAAATATATTAAAAACTGTGGAAATAAGTATAAGAAATGTACCTGCACCAAAATGTCTCCGTCCAGCAGTGATTGCATCATCATAATTCTCAGATGATACTTGTTCTTATAGATGAATAAAGAGAAAAGAAGAAATAAGCAGAAAATGCTTTATTATTCCTTTAATCAAATGGAATTAGTATTATTTATACTTTGTTCATCATATGCAAAACAAGTATCAGCTGAAGAAAACAACATAAGAATGAGAGTTGTGTAAGAATGAGAGTTGTGTGTCATCTTGTGAATTTAGTGAGTCCATTAAGTCATTATTCACTCAACCGATAATAACATAGAGATTGTCATCATAAATTAACCATCAAGACTTTTATTCAAAAGTGCATTATAAGCTTGCACAACTTTTAAGGCAAATTCAAGTATTGTACATCTAACTAAAACTAAGTTCAGTACGAGTCTGTAGACCCCTTGGATAAAGATCTAGTTTCAGATGGTTATACTAAATGTTCCATTTCAAGTTCAAGTTCCTTTACTAACTAATAACTGATCCTTTATTTCCCTGCATCAATTTGGGTTCATTCATTTACTCTTTTCATAGTACTCATTTGAAATATATGTGTGTACTGTACTAAATGTTTTTGTTCAGATTAGTCATTGTTTGTTTGTCACCCTTGTTAAATAAACTATGCACTGTGGTTGATTCTGTAGTAACTGCTTGTAACAACTAATGAATCTGATCTAACTACATGCTATTACTGCATGTTGAAATGTAAAATAATAATCTGACTTCTTTAAGTTAAATTAGTTAAAGGCACTGACCTTCAGGGTCTTCAGTTGTGATGTCATCATAGGAGTGAGGTGCAGAACTCACTTAAAAACATACAAGAAAAAAGATTCAATATTCCCTGCATTAAAATACTGTTAAATAAATTAGATAAATGGATAAAGGGGTGTTTTTAATTGCTTTTAAATACAAATGAAAAAGGATAGTTCATCATCATTTACTCATCTTCTACTTGTTCCAAACTTTTTCTGTTGAACACAAAAGGCCATTTGCTTCCAGTCACAGCGATCTAGCCTGTGCACATCACTGGACAATTACACATCTGCCACTATATAAAATACAACTCCCAGAAGTCGTTGCACTCACACACCAGTTCCAGATACTCCCTGATTACACTCACACAGTTGGAAGCACATGCTGAGTGAGCACTGAGTGCTGTTATACAGTAAGTGAACATCATGAAGAGTTTTCCTAGGCTTGCCTTCCTGTGTTTTTGACCATTGTATTGTTTATTGTTCCTGTTGTTTTGCCACCTGTACTGACCATTCGCCTTTTACTCTGGCCATGATTTTTGATTATTTTTATGCTCCTGTTTTTGACTGTTGTCTGCCTGACGAATCTCTTTATAAACTACTCTTTACACTTCCATAGTAATTTTTTTCTAAATATGGAAGTCAATTGTTATAGATTTTTAGCTTTCCCACAAAATATCATCTTTTGTGTTCAACAAAACGAAGAAACTCATAAATCACTTTAAGTGTGAAACCAATTGAAGGCAAGTAAATGGTGAGTAAATGTAAATTGTTGGGTAAACTATCCCTTTAACATAGACTACATTCAGTTTTGTATGTACTGTAACAGGTGACATTATTATATTTCAGTCCTACAACCTGAAAGAAGATCATCTGCATCTTCATATCCAGAATGCTGTTGTTTAGAAAGGACATTACCTGTTATGGAGGAGTAGAATCAATAAAGGAATTCAAATTCTTCACTTAATTTAAATAATACAACAGTAACTGTATAAAATGTTATATAAGACATATAAAGTTCCATAACTTTTTGGATCTATGTGATTTATACATACCCCTGGGGACGGACTTACCCTTCTGAGTAAAAAAACTTTGTCTTTTCGTGGGTCTTTGCTGAATCTCCTCATAAACGGCCTCAGTGATGGTCCTGTGTGTCCTCTTAGAGAGAGCTGTGAGTGTCGACACACAAACCTGCTGTCAGTTCACAACACAAGACTGATCACACACTGAAGAAGACACAATATGACAGTCTCTGGATCTCTCCTACCTCTCCTCATCACTCTGTTCTGCTGAATCAGTGTAAGCAGCGGCACTAAGAGCAGTAAGAGCACAACTCCCAGTACAATCAGCAGCACTGGGGGGACTGGGAGAGTTTCTGTGCGAGGAACTTGTGTTGAAACTTGAATAGAACCAGATGTTGTTTTGGCAGGAGGTGTGTGTCCGGGAACACCAGGCAAATCTGGCAAAACAGACATGAACACATTAAAACAATGTCAAGTACTAATTTAAAATAAACAAATCGTATACCCACTAAAATCCTGAAATCAACAATTTTGCTAAGAATTTTCAGTGACCTGCACAGGTGAGTCCAGCGTGCTCTTTGTGGGAGCAGTCAGTGTGGTTGTTCAGGGAGAGAGGACAGTCCCACAGGTGAAGCTCATTCCCTCTGCACTGGACTCTGTTCAACCACACAACACGTTCACCAGCACCAAAGGCTGAATTCCCATCAGCCCTCAGTGCTGCTCCACAACCCAGCTGCCTGCAGACCACCTGAGCATCGCTGATGTCCCAGAGATCATCACAGACTGAGCCCCACACAGCGTTATGATACACCTCCAGCCTCCCAGAGCACCGACCGTCCCCTCCACGCAGTCTGAGAGGAACATGAGCTGAAACACACAATAACCCTCACTGACCTACTTTATTACAAAAATAATCACATTTATAACTAATATGATAAAACAAAAATCTAACTAATAAATGCTGTAATTAATTTACTGAAAAACAAGATAACTATATAAAGTATTAACATATAATAAACTTACTTGAACACTGTCTCTGGTGAGTTGCTGTTGAGGTAGAACATGTCAAATGAATCTGAGGAGAATCATGATTTTTCTCTGTGATAAAAAAGTTACAATTTTTTAATCACTAATAAAGAACATTAGCCATTATAAATAAACAGAAACACTTCAAACCATCTTAAATCAGTTAAATATCATCATACCTGTGCAGCTAATCTTGACCACTTCGTTTCTACAGTCATTCTGTCCCCAGGGTGCAGATGGACACTGCCATAAACTGGAATCATGTTGTCTGCATAAAACTTTATCAAGCCAATTATGAGGCCTCAGCCCCTCTGAATTACTGGGTTCACTGCCAGATCTTCCACAGTTAAGCTCTTGACATATCAGACTCGCTGTGTCTCTGTCCATCTGATTCCAGCACACATTTCCCCAGGATCCATTGTAGAAAACCTCCACATTCCCTTCACAGCCCTCAGTTAACCTGATCTCTTTAAACTCTTGATAGAAAGCATTACAATTAACCATAATTCACATTTAACTCCAGTCAGTTAAGTAACGATAATAACCATGAACAATTTAATACTTCCACCTTTACCATTTGTGAGTGTGTGTTGTTATTTAAGGGACATGAAATTCTGGAAATGAAGGAAGATCTCAGAGGATTGGAACAGGTTAGTAATTAAGAACAGAATTTTCAGTTTTGAGTGAACTAACCCTTTAACAATTATGGCTAAAAACACATTATTTAATACTATTTATCACACGCTTCACATAATATGAACCATTAGCTTTACTGTCAAACGAGCTTTCAGTCAGTAAATACATTAATATAAGTTAATTGTAAACTTAATACTGTATATGTATTTTTTTTTACAAAATGAGACACTCCTTATGTTACTGAAATAACTAACTTACTTAAGTCAGTGAAGAATTGGATGACTGGCTATGTTGTGCTTAAGTGTCATTATTTGCGTTTGTGCTATTTCGTTTGCATCAGGATATTTGTCATTTGGCACAAGGAGGTCCAATCCTTCTCCAAGAGGATAAATGTCCTACAGATTTTGCTCCAAACAGCTCCAAAACAATTGCTTTGAAGTTTCTTGAGAATCTGAACACCCTAATTATCTTATGGTTCTGGTGTGTTTAATTAAATGATAAATTTTTTACCAGAGCAGATGACTCCTACATCCTCCTTGTGTTGACAGTCATGTTTTCCCCAGCCTGGAGAAGAGCAGCTCCACAGGGACGTCTCATTCCCCTCACACTCCACCTCATCCAGCCATATGGGTCCAGAACCAGGACCAAACCAGGCTGGTACCTGCTGGTTACTGAGGGCCACTCCACACTGCAGCTGTCTGCACACCACATGGGCATCTTTAATATCCCAGGAGTCGTCACACACTGTCCCCCATGAGCCGTTGTGAAAAACCTCCAGCCTCCCTGCACAGTCTCCCCCAGAACCCACCAGCCTGATGGAACCGCGGCCTGATATTCAGAGAAAGAGAAACACATTATTGATCAGGAACAACTCCAGAATCTGTCCAGATGTTGTTGTTCTCACCAAGGCAGGTGATTGACAGCTGTTGTGTGGAGCTGCAGTTGAGAGTTTGTGGAGAGCTGCAGTTCCCCAGATGAGCTTCACTCCCAGAGCACTGGAAGCCCATCACACACTCATGACTGTGTTCAGGACTGGATGAAGAGGAGCCCGAGAAGTTGAGCACAGAACCACAGCCCAGCTGTCTGCAGACCACAGAGGATTCAATGAGACTCCAGGAGTCCAGCAGAACCTTCCTCCAGACCTGCTGGATCAAAACTTCCACCTGCCCCTCACACTGACTCTCTCCAGACAACCGCACCAGACCCTCATGAAGAGCCAGAGATGAGTCTGATGACAAACATGAGGCAGTTTATTAAGACAATACAAGGAAATGTATTTAATACATTATTAATAAAATGTCCTCACTAGAGCAGATAACTCCAACATCTCGTCTATGAGAGCGTTCAGCTCGACTCCATGAAGAGATTGAACATTCGGAGAGTTTTGTTTCATTCCCGTCACAATCAAACACATCAGCCCAGATTTCACCACGTCCCTCTCCAAACCAGTCTGATCCCACAACAGATACAGCAATCCCACAATTCAGCTGTTTACAGAGGACACTGGAAGCTCTCATATCCCAGCATGCATCACACACTGTGCCCCATTTACTGAGATACTGAAGCTCCACTCTTCCAGAACAAGAGTCTGAACCATTTACCAGTCTTAAGTCAGTGTAACCTAAATTTAGAAAAATATATATTTTTTAAATTAACAAGTTATTAACAAGTTTTCATGTAAACAAAGAAAGCAACACTATTAATGATACTTAACCAGAACAGATTAATCCCACAATATTTCCACTGGTGCATTTGTGTTTGTATGATGATGATATTGAACAGAATGAAATCTGAGATTCGTCTCCTCTGCAGTGAATCTCTTGTGTCCACATCTGAGCGTCTCCTTTGTCAAAAGCAGCAGCTCTCAGCACCTGTACAGGAGCCCCACAGTCCAGCTCTCTACACACAACCTCTGCATCCTGCTGGTCAAAGGCAGCATCACACACTGACATCCACGTCTGATCATGAAGAATCTCTAACCTCCCAGAGCAAACGTGAGATCCATTAACAAGTCTCGAAGGTGAATGACCTGTATGTATTAGATTCATAAACCACAGTGATCAGTAGAAAAAAATAAAAGCTTCAGAGAAAAAAAAAATACAGTAGAAAAGCAGACATTACTATCCATGTACAACAAATTAAATGACTTACCTGAACAAATCACACCAGCATCTTTATAGTGAGAACAGTCATGTTTGGTCAATCCTGCTGACCCACAGTTCTTCAAAATTGATTCTGATCCAGTACATAACACAAGACTCATCCATATTAGTCCTGATCCTTGTCCAAAATGAGCATCACCCAGAGCATCTACAGGTTCTCCACAGTCCAGTTCTCTACACACCACTGCAGCATCAGCCATATCCCAGCCATAATCACACACTGTTCCCCACTGACCTCGATGATAAACCTCAACTCTACCAGCACATCGACTGTTGCCATCAACCAACCTCACATTCTTCTGGTCTAATTAAAAATAGAAAAACAATAAATAAAAAGTAAAATATAGTTAATAGAATAAAAATTAATTTAACTCACCATGACCCATTCCATGAGCATTATCATGTGAACAGTTTTTTTCATGTAATGATGTTAATTTTGGACAGAGGTGAATCTGAGACTCATTTCCTCTGCAGTGAATCTCTTGTGTCCACATCTGAGTGTCTCCTTTGTCAAAAGCAGCAGCTCTCAGCACCTGTACAGGAGCCCCACAGTCCAGCTCTCTACACACAACCTCTGCATCCTGCTGGTCAAAGGCAGCATCACACACTGACATCCACGTCTGATTATGAAGCACTTCCACTATCCCAGAACAACTGGAGTTTCTGGCAAGCTTGTGACCTGGAGGAGAGATGGAAAAACAAACAAACAAATAAAAACAGTTACATAATAAAACATTTTATTATGGCGACGCAGGGGCGGAGTAGGTAGAGCTTTCACCTCACACCAAGAAGGTCGCTGGTTTGAGCCTCGGCTGGGTCAGTTGGCATTTCTGTGTAGAGTTTGCATGTTCTCCCTGTGTTCGCATGGGTTTCCTCTGGGTGCTCCGGTTTCCCCCACAGTCCAAAGACATGTGGTACAGGTGCATTGGGTAAGCTAAATTGTCCGTAGTGTATGAGTGTGAATGAGTGTGTATGGATGTTTCCCAGAGATGGGTTGCTGCTAGCAGGGCATCCGCTTTGTAAAACATATGCTGGATAAGTTGGCGGTTCATTCCGCTGTGGCGACCCCAAATTAATAAAGTGGCTAAGCCAAAAAACAAATTTATGAATGAATGAACATTTTATTTTCATTTCATTTCTACTACTCTCTGATGATTCAAAGTGCTTCTTTATCCTCCCTTGTAAGTTCGTTCATTCATTCATTCATTTATTTTCCTTCGGCTTAGTCCCTTTATTTATCAGGGGTTGCCACAGCCAAATGAACCACAAACTTTTCCAGCATATGTTTTACACAGTGTATGCCCTTCCAGCTGCAACCCAGTACTGGGAAACATCCATAAACTCTCACATTCACACACAAACACTACGGAAAATTTTGTTTATTCAATTCACCTATACCACATGTCTTCAGACCCACATGAACACGAGAAGAACATGCAAACTCCACACAGAAACGTCAACTGACCCAGCCAAGACGAATTGCAAAAAGCAATTTTTGGTGAACTGTCCCATTGAAACTGGAGGATCATTGGTGTAGATGTCACATAAATAAAGTAAATTTTTATATATAATTTAATTTACCTAAATACTGTCTAAAATAGATTAAAATACAGGTGCATTAGAGGTAACAATTCAATGCACAAGCAAGTTATTTACAAGAATACATACCCTAAACTGAAGAAAAGAAACTGTTGAACAAAGAGTTATTTTGTTTACTTGATATGTTTTGAGGAATTTTTTTTTTTTTTTTTTGCATTTGTCTGGACTTTGAACAGGTCTGGAACCTCGCTGTATATATGGAGAATGAGGGAGCTCTCAGATGTCACCTAAAATATCTTAATTTGTGGAATGACATGAGGGTAATTAATAACAGAACTTTACAATTACAATTACCGTCATTACAATGTCATTACCATTGCCATTAGAATAAGTGATGTAAAAACAGGTTGGAATTTGGAGAAGCTCACCAGAGCAGATGACTCCTGCATCTTTAGAATGATCACAGTGATATATACCCCATTCCACTGATCCACATTTCCTCAGCTTTGGTTCTGATCCAGAACATGTTAAGCGATTCATCCAGATTGGTCCTGATCCTGGTCCAAAATGAGCGTTACCCAGAGCATCTACAGGTTCTCCACAGTCCAGTTCTCTACACACCACTGTAGCATCTGGCATATCCCAGCCAATGTCACACACTGTTCCCCACTGACCTCTGTAAAGAACCTCCACTCGACCAGAACAGCGGTCGGTACCTCCAACCAACCTTACTCCCACATTTCCTATTCAATATAGAGAGTTAATATGGAAAATACAGTCAAAGTACCACACACACACACAAAAAAAATGTGATATTTGGGGGACTCTACATTTGAAGAAAAAGAAAAAACCTGCACACAATAGTCCAACATAACTGTCACGTGAACAATTGTTTTCATGTGATGGTGATGTTGGACAGAAATGAATTTGAGACTCATCTCCCCTGCACTGAATCTCTTGTGTCCACATCTGATCTTGAAGTGTCTTTAACTTCCAAGAAAAGTGAAAACGTCCAACCAGCCGAACTTCTGAAAGAACATCATTTAAGTCAGTGAGCCTTTTAGCAGTTATATCATAGGAAATTTTTGTTTCCTTGACAAAATAAAAGCAAGTGTGCTAGAAAAACACAATGTGAATTTTTAGCAAAACATTGTCTTCTAATCTAAACGTTTTCAGGAAACATTAAGTTACAGTAAAATAGCTAATCAATAGTAGCAAATCGGTATGGTTATGTCAAAAATCTGAATACAGACACTTACACCTAACTGCTTACAGTACATTTTTATATCTACAGCATCTTTTGCAGTGTTTCTTAAACTTTTTCTGCCATTCCACATGTAAGCTGGGAAGGATCCCACCTGTCCCTATTTACCCAAAACACGAATAAACTTGAGCTTCTTGTTTAACTGTTCAAAATAACATAAATATCAAGTCTACTGTCTATAGTCAATACTAGGAGTGTGCAATACTGAAAAAAAAAAAAAAATTTCTGGGATTTTGAGATATATTTAGACAACATTGCATGATGTAAAAATGTGTTCGAAATTTTCAGATATTGCACTAGCTTTGTTTTCCTGTGTCAATAGAATACTGAGCATTTGAAACAATATATTAAAGGACAGAGTGTTAATAATTATTTAAAACTAATGATGAAATCTTTAAATAATGACCCTGTTATGCTAAAAAAAACAACAACAACAACTGCTGTACAGTGTAATGCAAGTGAGCTGAATGCTTTGTTTACTTCAATGATTTATCTCTGCTTAAAGTTATGTGCATGCTAAAATGTGACTTTTACCATCAGTAGCTTTTCAATCATTTAAATTGGGCTAATATCTAGATAGTAGGTGTGTGGCTTAGGTAAGTTTAAAATGTCTGGCTGAGAACTGCTTTTTAATACGAGAACTACTAGAATTGTGGAACTACTAGAATGGCTATTGTACCAGTTTGTATAAAATTGTTTCACATTATATTTACATTCTAAGATTCTGAGACTCTGAGGCTCTTGAGACTTTAGAATTAAGCTTTAAATGTCTGTCACGTTATAAATGCATTAATAATAAGGTGGGAGATTTTTCACTGCAGTGAAAATGTAGCTTGAAAGACATGTCTAAACAAAAATTATGTATTTGATATCAGAAAATTGTTTCGGTTAGCATATTGATGCTAGGCAATGAAGAGAAGCATATTCAAATGCATGGGAAAAAGAAGCGCGTACTGAAATGCATGCATCAATTTCACCGTTGTGGCCATCCGAGGTTAAAATACTTTTTCTGTTTTGTAATTTTAATAAAATATGAATGATACAATGACAAGAATGTTAAAAGAATTGTAACAAAGTTATTAAAATACAAAATCAAAAACTACTGCCTCAGTAATTCTAGTGTTAAAATTTAAATAAAATAAACATAAGAATAAAATTATACATTTTGTAATATCACTAGGAAATGTTTAGGCCAATCAAACACTTCCTGAGGTACCCATATTAATGATCCTGTTGGCATTGTAACAGATTTAATGTTTTGATTGACCTGTTTTAACCATGGTTTTAATTAAAAGGATTTACATTAGATGTAGAAAACCATTTAATTATATAGCACCTTTAATTTTATAGTTTGTTTTCTAGCAGTAATCTGACAGGCTGTCTTACAGATTAAGTGTAAAATTATTATAATACATGGATTATTGTACATGGATAATGCATTTTTGTAGGCTTACCTGAACAAATGACTTGTGCATTTTTATCAAGACACACATGAGGATCAGTAGACTCTATGAAACCACATTTCCTGAGTGTAAACTCTGATCCAGTACACATCGCATTTTTCTTTGAGAAGAGTCCCGATCCTGGCTCAATACGAGCAACATAGTGAGCATCTACAGGTTCTCCACAGTTCAGTTCTCTACACACCACTGCAGCATCAGCCATATCCCATCCAGCACCACACACTGTTCCCCACTGACCTCTATGATAAACCTCCACTGTGCCAGCACAGCGACTGGTACCATTCACCAGTCTAACATTTATTATGTCTAGAAATGTGAAAGAAAGTAAGATGTATGTAAAAAAAAGTGAGTGTAAATTTAAAATGTTACAAAAAACAAAACAAAATTGCAGCTCCTACCAGAACACAGCACACCAATGTCATGAGAGCAATTGCTTTTAACTGTTAAATGTGATGTTAGACAGAGGTGAATTTGAGATTCATTTCCTCTGCAGTGAATCTCTTGTGTCCACATCTGAGCGTCTACTTTGTCAAAAGCAGCAGCTCTCAGCACCTGTACAGGAGCCCCACAGTCCAGCTCTCTACACACAACCTCTGCATCCTGCTGGTCAAAGGCAGCGTCACACACTGACATCCACGTCTGATCATGAAGGATCTCTAACCACCCAGAGCAGCGAGAACCTCCAACCAGCCTGACCTCTGAACACAGATGAACAAAAATCATGGCTTAAATAAATAAAAATTAATTTATTAATTAATAAACAAATACATATTTTTATTTGAAAAACATAGCAACAACGTATAGATCATGGTTATAAATACAGTATGAAAACATAAATACATGGATTTTTAGATAACAAAAAACAACATGCAAATAAAAAGCCATCAGCCTTTCAATTCTTTATTCATTGGATTGTGACCCCTGGGGTTATTAAGCTAGATTAATTACATAGCAATAGTGTTAGTTGCAGCAGATTGATTTTACAGCAATGTTAAGCTTTGACACCTTTACGGAACTCACATATATTAAAAATAAAGGCCATGACTGAACACAGAGGCTCCAAGTGGCGGTCCCCAAAATTAAACCAAGAATAGTCTTGTGCTGTAAACAATGTGCCCACTAATCTCATTATATGAGGTTAATATTAAATTAAACAAATGAATAATGATTTTTAGATCAAGAATTTATATACCAAGTCACAAAAAACCTACATCGCTTATCACATTACATTTAAGATATGCACAATAATCTTACCTGAACATAAGACTCCAGCATCTCTGCTATGATCACATCTGCTTTTACCCCATCCTGCTGACCCACAGTTCTTCAGTGTAGACTCTGATCCAGTACATGTGACATGGCTTGTCCAGACTCGTCCTGATCCTGGTCCAAAATGAGCTCCACCCAGAGCATCTACAGGTTCTCCACAGTCCAGTTCTCTACACACCACTGCAGCATCAGCCAAATCCCAGCAATCATCACACACTGTTCCCCACTGACCTCTATGAAGAACTTCCACTGTGCCAGCACAGCGACTGTGACCACCAACCAAGCGCACATTCACAAGGTCTAAAGTTTGAGAAATAATTGATAAAAAAGATGAAGGCATGAGAACAAGATTTTAAAAAGTCTAACTAACCTAAATTGAAATTTATAAACAAAACAGGATAAAATAATATAACTGGATGTCCTATTTTCCATATAAGATACATATTTTGCCTTTTAAGGGAACACAGAAAATATTGACATTACATGTGTTTGCTGTCATCGGAAATGCAAAATCATAGTTAAGCCTAATTTCATTTATGCTACACTCCATTCCAGTATTTAACATATAGTTTTCATGTGTACTTACCAGCAGTGCTGAGCATTAGAGCCGAGGACATTAAAATGAGCATCAGGCTTCTCGTTTTCTCCATCCTCATGATTAACTCAACATCCAGAACAATCTTCTACACACTGATGATACAGAAGAACAGGCATCATCTCAGCCCCCTTAAAGAGAGAGAAAGAGGAGAAACAGCCTCCAATCACACCCGCTATTACCTTATTAGACGCAACAGAGGAAATCATCAAACAACTGCAGTGACAAATCAGAGATCGCTTGTCTCATTTTCTCCATATATATCAAAGTTGTCTGTGTCTCTCTCCACCCATCAAGATGCAGAAATACATACACACACAAACACATACACACACACATACACACTTACAGGAGACAGGAAACTCTCCAGTTTATTTACGGTATCAGAGCCTGCAGAACACCTGCAGGGACGAGATAAAAACACTGATAAGTAAACGGTAAATGCCTGTAACACTTACTATTAATGTATACACAAGCATGATATTGACACATAATCTCCTTTCTCTGCAATTTATGTAATTATAAAATAGCATGTTAAAAACATCTTACCATTACATTTAGCATTTCTAAAAATGAGTCAATCACAATTTTCCTTCAGTTTTTGTCCATTGTGTGAGAGAATGGAAGTGTCCTGAGAACTTGAGTGTCAATTTCATGTGTCTTTTAGGTTCTCATTTAACTGCTATAAAAAGTCGCCCTTCAATGTTCTGGGGAGGAACATTTTTGATTAAGCAGAAGACATTTCCAGAATGTTCTTATTATTACATTAACAAATAATTGGGAATCAAACACCAAATTATTTGCTGGGGAGCCCTGAAACACTGATATGTCATGCAATTCATTTTTATCCTCAAGATGGCAGTAAAACAGAGCAATATTACTTTGATGCCATTGATTAAGGCAGGGGTCTTAAACTCAATTTCTAGAGGGCCAAAGCTCTGCACAGTTTAGCTGCAACCACCTCCAACTCACACCTGCTTAATAGTCTCTAGAATTCTTGAACATCTTGATTTGATGGATCAGCTGTGTTTGATTAGGGTTGGAGCAAAACTGCAGAGCTGCGGCCCTCCAGGAATCGAGTTTGAGATCTATGGATTAGGGGATTGAAAATAATCATTAATTCATCAAGGGAGACAATCCTTAAACTGTGAATCCTAAAAAAGGTTTTAATACATTTCAATTCATTAAAAAAAAAATTCAACAGTTTTCTCAAAACATTTCCTACATCACAGTTCCTCCGATACAAGCCTTCATTATTAATTACTGAGAAATAAAGTTGGACAAAGGGGTTAGTGAACACCGACAACTGTAGATTTATTAAATCTGGTAAACCATTTTCAGCTTTCTATATCAAAAGAACAGACAAGTTTTAGTTTTGGAGAGGAAAAAACAAAAGACATACAATGAATTGTTTTTATTAACATTCTTAAGAATTGTATTTGGAAAAGAATCAGTAATCAAATGACAATTAGCTTCATTCAATTAATGAGAAATTTTTTAAATCATGTTTTAGTTATTAGAAAAGTCATTATCACAACATGCCATGTAAGTAAAATGTACAATTTCAACAACACAGCTAGACACCATTTTGAGGGATGTAAACAAAAACAATAGTCCCAACATGTTGCCTCTTTTACATTTTTAATTCCTAGAGCTTCCGAGAATACAAAAAAAGGAACATACTGATGAATTATGTTATAATAGCTATTTTAACATTAAGTTATGATAGAATTGATTCTTGTTACAGTTATTACATAGTTTGATAAGAAGCAGGAAATGTTCATAGGCCAATGACATGACCACATTGAAATGGTCCATAGAATAATATTCATGAAAACATTGTTCTTCAAGTGTGTCATTATTTTTTTTTTTACATTCATCCAACAGAAGTTTTAGAAAACATACACTTGCCAGACAGTGTAATTATCATGTGTTGTTACTAGAGAACTCTGCTTCATCTTAATTAATAAAATAATAATAACAATAACCCCAACAAACATACGCATGGCTATCACAGCAATAAACAATGGGAATGATAATGATAGAATGATTATTTTATTTATAACTGTTTCACAAGTTTGTAAAATGAAATAAAATTAAATAAAATATAAATAAAAAATAAAATAAATGTAAAAAATTTAATAGAATAAAATAAAACACCGAGTTATACAGCTTCTTTTTCAGTGTCTGATTCTTCCACCACATCATCATAATCTGCATTATAAAGAAAAAAGCACAAAAAAAGCTGTTCAGTGTTGTGATTGCATTACAATTATATATTTATTCAAACTTTAATCATAAACATGTTGCAACAATATTGTATTTTGAGAATTTAAATGGTAAAATAATATTACACAACTATAGACCAAATCACTTGGGTCATTTCATATATTAGTAAAAATTAAAAATGAAAGATATTACAATATTTTATATTAAGTGTATTAATAATCACGAGACAAGATTTACCCAACAGGTTTCTCATATCTTCAGAGATACTCCATGCATCATCATACTCCCGACCTTCCTCTTTACAGGAAAATTAAAGCGAAATAATAATAAACAAATCCCTCATGAGTGTCAGAGACTAGCAGATTAAACACAATAAAACTATTATGATTAATTTTATTAGTATATGTTTAATATCTTAAAAATAAATGTCAATTGAAATTAAAAATGAAGTTCTGCTTGACTCACCCGATTCACAATGAGAGCACTGTTCACTAATGATGACATCATCATAATTCTCGGGAGTGTTCACTACACACAAACAACATTATGAGCTTTCGGATATAACATTAAGCTATTAAAATAACATTTTATCCTAACTAACATTAAAAAATTATCACAAAAAAAAAATCACCTTTATCAGCAGCACAGTTCTGCCCAATGGTAATGACATCATCATAGTCTTCTGGTTTGTCGTCTACAATTGCAACATTTAACCAATTTGATCAAGCGTTTAAAAAAATTTAAATACTGTATAGATTAACAAACTAATTGTGGAACAGCAGAGACACAGAGAGAGAGAATTATAAACATAATAGAGAACTGGACAATGACCTGTCTCATCTGGTATTGGTACATTAATGGCGATGTCCTCATAGTCTGACATGCCTGCATTGATCCGATCTTCAACATAAAAAATAATCATACAATAAATACATTTAAAGAATTGTAGAAAAAAACGCAGATCCCAAAGTGTTACTGTTTGATTAATCGAGCAATGAAATCACCTGATCAATTCATAAGACCAATTTCCTATAAGGCCGTTACTGTTCTAAACACTAGATCCGTTTGTAACACACTGCTCTTACCTGGTAGAAGTGCATCTCCATCTCCAAACCCAGAACGCTGTTCTTGAGAAATAAAACTCTCTGTTAAACAAAAACAAAACAGAAACAAGAGTTTGGAAAAATTATTCATCATCAAAAAAAGATTAAATCCTCAATCGTTTTATTTTTATTCTTTTTTTTTTGCTTTCCCTCGGAATCGACATCCTTAGCATTGCTTGTGTCATGTTCAACCTTTTAAGCTACAGGAAGGCTTTCAACATGTCCCACACATTAATAAATGAAGAGATAGAGATTTATGTCTTTACAAATGTGATCAGAATGATTTAAACATGAGCTGTAACACCAGTTTGAATGGTTTTATGCATGTACTCCACTATCTTAGGTGAGATTCCTATTCAAACAGAACGTAATCCATCTTATTCTTTGACATAAAAAAGAAAGGCCGTTGGAACCCTATTAGCTCGAGACTTCTGGTTTAATTAAATTCCATTGATTTTTATCCATACAAACATCGTTACACTGCTTGATGTACACAAAGTCTTTTAAATGTATTTTCATAAACAAATTAGTAATTAGTTTGAACGTTTACTGCCATTTTTTATTCCTAGTCATTCCCCCATAAGCAAATTAATCGGAGGTTCTAAATAAATTACAAAAAACACAATAAGGTCGACACACTTAGAATAAAAAAACGCAAATGGTGGAGGGGGGATTTATCTGTCTGTGTGAATGAGAGGCTAGGAAAAGGAAGTGAGACCTTTTTTATTGGACACAATTAGGGTCAAATTTTGATTAAAAAGGTCGTGGTGTATAATACACTTCTAGATAGAAGCTTTTAACTTCCTTCTATGATCGCTCACCTCTCAAGTCATTGTGTCTTTGGTAGATTTCCTCATAAACTGCCTCCGTTGGAGCCCTGTGTAGTCCAGTGTACCAGTCAGCAAGAGCTGTGAGTGTGACAAGACAAACCTGCGGTCAGTTCAATACACAAGACAATGCCATTTGAGATCTCTGGATCTCTCCTACCTTTCCTCATGAGTCTGTTCTGCTGAATCAGTATAAGCAATGCTACTAAGAGCAGTACGAGCACAACTCCCAGTACAATCACAAGCACTGGGGGAACTGCGAGTGTTTCTGGACGTGTTTGTGAACAAGAGACTGATGTTGAGCTCACTGTCTGAGACATTGGACCAGAAGGTGATGCTGATGTGGCAGGAGTAGTGGACACTGACAAATCTAAAACAAACAACAAACAGATTTAAACTCCTGCAAATAATTCAATAAATAATATTCCTTAGTGTTTTCAGTGACCTGCACAGGTGAGTCCAGCGTGCTCTTTGTGAGAGCAGTCAGTGTGGTTGTTCAGGGAGAGAGGACAGTCCCACAGGTGAAGCTCATTCCCTCTGCACTGGACTCTGTTCAGCCACACAACACCTTCACCAGCACCAAAGGCTGAATTCCCATCAGCCCTCAGTGCTGCTCCACAACCCAGCTGCCTGCAGACCACCTGAGCATCACTGAAGTCCCAGAGATCATCACAGACTGAGCCCCACACAGCGTTATGATATACTTCCAGCCTCCCAGAGCACTGGTTGTGCCCTCCACGCAGTCTGAGAGGAACGTGAGCTAAAACACACACATCTCACACAAAAAGAAAGCAGAGTACTGTCACAACAGAGACACCTACTGTATATAGGGGTCATAACGGTTACTTGTATGACCTTACCCTGTATACAGCTCTCTTAATTTGTGTTTCTATGAAATACACTTACCAAAACATTGTCTTTGGTGAGGAGATGTGGAAATAGTAAGATAACTTCTGGGGGATGCAGGACTCTCCTTTTCTGTAATCATCAGATACAGTAATATATGCAATGTGTCTTTTTCTATGTATACTCAAAGTATTAAAGCAATATTTCTGTATTGTGTAGTGAACAATATTCTATAATTTTACCTGAGCAGGTAACTTTGGCCACTTCATCTGTATTACAGTCATTTTGTCCCCAAATTGAAGACGGACATTGCAAAAGATGTGAATCATGTGATCGACATGTTACTTTGTCCAGCCAGTTAGGAGCTGATTTCAGTCTTGATGTAGAAACAGACAAAACACCAGATCTTCCACAGTTCAGCTCTTGACAAATAATACTCACTGTGTCTATTTCCATCTGATTCCAGCACACATTTCCCCAGGATCCATTGTAGAAAACCTCCACATTCCCTTCACAGCCTTCAGTTAACCTGATCTCTTTAAACGCTGGATGGAAACATGGGATAACTTAAAACCAAACATTTGTTTTATACACTGGATGTTACATAAACTGCATATGAAGTATATTGTTCACCAGAGCAGACGACTCCTACATCCTCCTTGTGTCGACAGTCATGTTTTCCCCAGCCTGGAGAAGAGCAGCTCCACAGGGACGTCTCATTCCCCTCACACTCCACCTCATCCAGCCATATGGGTCCAGAACCAGGACCAAACCAGGCTGGTACCTGCTGGTTACTGAGGGCCACTCCACACTGCAGCTGTCTGCACACCACATGGGCATCTTTAATATCCCAGGAGTCGTCACACACTGTCCCCCATGAGCCGCTGTGAAAAACCTCCAGCCTCCCTGCACAGTCTCCCCCAGAACCCACCAGCCTGATGGACCCGCGGCCTGATATTCAGAGAAAGAGAAACACATTATTGATCAGGAACAACTCCAGAATCTGCCAAGATGTTGTTGTTCTCACCAAGGCAGGTGATTGACAGCTGTTGTGTGGAGCTGCAGTTGAGAGTTTGTGGAGAGCTGCAGTTCCCCAGATGAGCTTCACTCCCAGAGCACTGGAAGCCCATCACACACTCATGACTGTGTTCAGAACTGGATGAAGAGGAGCCGGAGAAGTTGAGCACAGAGCCACAGCCCAGCTGTCTGCAGACCACAGAGGATTCAGTGAGACTCCAGGAGTCCAGCAGAACCTTCCTCCAGACCTGCTGGATCAAAACTTCCACCTGCCCCTCACACTGTCTCCCTCCAGACAACCGCACCAGACCCTCATGAAGAGCCAGAGACGAGTCTGATGACAACATGAGGCAGTTTGTTAAGATATTACATGGAAATATATTTAATACATTATTAATAAAATGTCCTCACTAGAGCAGATGACTCCAACATCTCGTCTATGAGAACGTTCAGCTCGACTCCATGAAGAGATTGAACATTCGGAGAGTTTTGTTTCATTCCCGTCACAATCAAACACATCAGCCCAGATTTCACCACTTCCCTCTCCAAACCAGTCTGATCCCACAACAGACACAGCAATCCCACAATTCAGCTGTTTACAGAGGACACTGGCAGCTCTCATATCCCAGCATGCATCACACACTGTGCCCCATTTACTGAAATACTGAAGCTCCACTCTTCCAGAACAAGAGTCTGAACCATTGACCAGTCGAAAATCCGTGTAACCTGTGCAAAGACATGTTGGTATTGTAAGGCCCTTTACAAAAATGTCTATTATACAACATGCAGACAGAGACATGCTTTAGTGATTAAAGAAGTGCCAAATAATACTTAACAATGAGACAAGTTCTGTACAGTAACACATTTAAGGACCCTGTACAGTACATTATTTCCTTACCTGAACATATCAGGCTTACTCTACTGGCATTTGTGCAATTGTTTTTGTGTGATTGTGACATTAAACAGAATGAAATGCGAGTCTCATCTCCTCTGCAGTGAATCTCTTGTGTCCACATCTGAGTGTCTCCTTTGTCAAAAGCAGCAGCTCTCAGCACCTGAGCAGGAGCCCCACAGTCCAGCTCTCTACACACAACCTCTGCATCCTGCTGGTCAAATGCAGCATCACACACTGACATCCACGTCTGATCATGAAGGATCTCTAACCTCCCAGAGCACAGATGAGATCCGTCAATAAGTCTGGACTGTTTATGATCTGTTTGAATTATATTAATATTGTATAACACAGACAAAACCATTATCAGCTATATTTAGAGTGTAAATGTATGAATATGTTTTATTCAGCAGTCATAACAATAGAAGTGCTTTGCAAAATCGTTATTTAATTAAATTTATGACATTTATCACAAAAAAATATGCTATTGTCCTTCACCTGAGCAGATGACTCCAGCATCATCATTATGACCACAGGTGTGTTGGCCCCATCCTGCCGCTCCACAGCTTTTTAATGTAGATTCCATCCCATAACAACTTAAAGTACTCATCCAGATTGGTCCTGATCCTGGTCCAAAGTGAGCATCACCCAGAGCATCTACAGGTTCTCCACAGTCCAGTTCTCTACACACCACTGCAGCATCAGCCAAATCCCAGTCATCTTCACACACTGTTCCCCACTGACCTCTATGATAAACCTCCACTCTACCAGCACAGCGACTGTTACCATCAACCAACCTCACATTCCTTGCATCTAAATGAATTTAATAAAAAAGACATTTCAAGTAAAATAATATAATACATATTTCTAATATCTTCTCTCTAACTCCAGCTCTTACCCGCACAAATCAGTCTAACACTGTTGTTGTGAGTACAGTTGTTTTCATATAATGTTGATGTTGGACAGAGGTGAATCTGAGACTCGTCTCCTCTGCAGTGAATCTCTTGTGTCCACATCTGAGCGTCTCCTTTGTCAAAAGCAGCAGCTCTCAGCACCTGTACAGGAGCCCCACAGTCCAGCTCTCTACACACAACCTCTGCATCCTGCTGGTCAAAGGCAGCATCACACACTGACATCCACGTCTGATTATGAAGAATCTCTAACCTCCCAGAGCAGCGAGAACCTCCAACCAGCCTGACCTCTAAACAGAATAATTTACAAGTAATTTACTTGTTTTCAGCTTTTGTTTTTTCACAAAATACTGGTGTAATATTCTCAATAAATGTAAAAATAATATCACTGCAGGTTATGTTTTGAGCGGTTACCTGAGCAGATGATTCCAGCATCACCACTATGATCACAGTTATGTTTCTCCCATCCCCATGACCCACAGGCCTTCAGGGTAGACTCTGATCCAGTGCATAACACAACACCCATCCAGATTGGTCCTGTTCCTTGTCCAAAATGAGCACCACTCAGAGCATCTACAGGTTCTCCACATCCCAGTTCTCTACACACCACTGCAGCATCTTTAAGATCCCAGGCAGCATCACACACCGTTCCCCACTGACCTCTATGAAAAACTTCCACTCGACCAGCACAGCGACTGGTACTATTTATAAGTCTCACATTTACACTTTCTGGATAATAAAGAAAGAAAATGAAAGATGAGGTGACAGAAAGAATTAACTAGTAAGTGATTCCGATTTGAACATTAATTTAAAAGTAGTTTCAACCTGCACAAACAAGTTCTGTGTTGTCATGAGTGCAGTTGTTTTCATGTGATGATGATGTTGATGTAAATGGACAGAGGTGAATCTGAGACTCATCTCCTCTGCAGTGAATCTCTTGTGTCCACATCTGAGCGTCTCCTTTGTCAAAAGCAGCAATTCTCAGCACCTGTACAGGAGCCCCACAGTCCAGCTCTCTACACACAACCTCTGCATCCTGCTGGTCAAAGGCAGCGTCACACACTGACATCCACGTCTGATTATGAAGAATCTCCAGCCTCCCAGAGCAGTGAGAATCTCCAAAGAGTTTCACTTCTAAAGTAAGATCATTTAAATCAATTATTAATTGTAACAGAAAAATTTAAAACAAACTAGATACATAATCTAGAAATTTAACATATTAAGTGTCCAAAATTTTGTAGATCTCCTTTGCCCCAAACCCATAAATAAGCCACTTCCTAGGTGGATTTAGCATAAACCCTCATTTATGCTAATCATTTCACAATCTGACACCCACATAATTAAGGCGAAAAATTAAACCAGGTTGTGTTTGTCCATAATTGGCCCAACACAGGGTTAATACAACCCCACATTTGTTAGAGTGTAGCTAATGCAGTACTGCAGCACTGTTTTTGAGGAAACCTGCTGTGTGATTTTAAACCAGAGCTTAATTGGTCACATAGCCATGAGTGAATCATATTATATACACGTACTGAATCAAAAATTACAGTATATTCTCATATTTAAATGTGTCTGTCACTCCTATTTTACAGCAAGTTATATATGCATGCAATGGTGTTTTCGCACTTATCTTATTGTGTGATTGTCAGACAAAAAGGAAAGTTAGGCCTCCTTATTGACAATCAAACCTTCTAGATCTCTATATAAACAAACACTTAAAGTTTTGGAAGTAGATGGCACCATTTCAATATTTTACAAAATGATATAATCTGAAGATCTTTTGAAAATGTTGTCAATATGTCTCTTTTAAAAATGATTTTTAAATATGTAAATCATCTTGCTCCATAAATATGAAAATTAATAACAAAATCAAGCAGTAGCAAGGGATTATCACAAGAAGCGTAATCAATCTGAACTGCATAATACCAAAAAAAAAAACAACAACAACAACTAAATTTGCACAATATACATTTTTATTTTAGGGTACACTGCTTTGCAATAGCCTGCCGATTGAACTAAAAAGGCAAACAGACTTAAACAGATTTTAAAGAGAGTAAAAAAAAGTAGTTTAAACTAAATCAGGATTGTTAACACTGCTTGTCATGCGTTTTTTATTTCTTTTCTTGTCTTTTTTTGTATTTGTAATGTATTTTTATATGTAAATCATAAAGATTTTTGTACTGTTTTATTGTATAAAAGTCTAACCAGGGAGTAAGGCTGCAAATTAGTCACTGGCTAGAAGCCTGTATGTGGAGCATTGGCTGCTTTAAACTCTATTAATGTTATACTTTAAACTGTATCAATGTCCCTGTTAAATAAACAAAAATAATAATAATTATCAAAGCAGCATATTGTTTGGGGATATACAGTACTGTATTTTAATTTATTTACATCAGTATACACTTTTAGAGTAAGTTACCTGAGCAGATGACTCCAGCTTCACCATTTTGTTTACATGCGCTTGTACCCCATCCTGTTAATCCACAGTTCTTCAAAGTAGACTCTGATCCAGTGCACACAACATAACTCATCCAGACTGGCTCTGATCCTGGTCCAAAATGAGCATCACCCAGAGCATCTACAGGTTCTCCACAGCCCAGTTCTCTACACACCACTGCAGCATCAGCCATATCCCAGTCATCTTCACACACTGTTCCCCACTGACCTCTATGAAGAACTTCCACTCGACCAGCACAGCGACTGGTACCATTTACAAGTCTTACATTCACACTTTCTGTATAATAGACAAAGAAAATGAATTAAATTGTTGAAATGATTTAGGTTTTAGTTGAATATGAAGTCAAAAGCAGTTTCAACCTGCACACATAAGTTCAGTATAGTTGTGATGAGAACAATTGATTTTATATAACGGTGATGTTGGACAGAGGTGAATCTGAGACTCATTTCCTCTACATTGAATCTCTTGTGTCCACATCTGAGCGTCTCCTTTGTCAAAAGCAGCAGCTCTCAGCACCTGTACAGGAGCCCCACAGTCCAGCTCTCTACACACAACCTCTGCATCCTGCTGGTCAAAGGCAGCATCACACACTGACATCCACGTCTGATCATGAAGAATCTCTAACCTCCCAGAGCAGCGAGAACCTCCAACCAGCCTGACCTCTAAAAGAACAAAGATCATTTAAACTTTTCGCATAAGTAGATCATTATTATTATTAATTTATTATTTAAGGATGAGGAGAAGGTTACCTGAGCATATGACTCCAGCATCGTTATTATGATCACAGTTGTTTTTAGCCCATCCTGTGGAGCCACAGCTCTTCAGTGTTGACTCTGATCCAGTACACACTGCATAACTCATCCAGATTGGTCCCGATCCTTGTCCAAAATGAGCATAACCCAGAGCATCTACAGGTTCTCCACAGCCCAGTTCTCTACACACCACTGCAGCATCAGCCAAATCCCACCAATCATCACACACTGTTCCCCACTGACCTCTATGAAGAACTTCCACTCGACCGGCACAGCGACTGTTCCCATTTACAAGTCTCACATTCAGATGATCTTTTTGTGCAACATATAAATGACAAACTGAGAAAAAATGAAAAAACAATGATTAGAGAACAGAACAAAAAAATAAACTTCTAGGAAGCATATTGATCATTTTAGATAACATTCTGGCACAAAAAGGTTGAAATGAAATAATTTTATGCCCCAAATAAATATATAAACTTACCAGCGGTGATGATTTCCAGAAGCATAAGCATCAAACTCTTCATGATCTCCTTCTCCATGACACACGCCACCATATCATCAGCTCAAATGCAGCACAAGTTTCTTCCTTACAAGCCCCTTAAAGACAAGAGTTGTAAATCTTTCCAATCACGTTCATCATTACCTTATTAGACACAACAGAGGAAATCATCAAACAACCTCAGCGACAAATCAGAGCAGGCTTTCTTGATATTCACCAAATATATCAAAAGAACGTCAGCGCTGAAGATGACTGCTCCTCCTCTTCCATATCAAGGCACTTTCTTGAGGGCTCACACACACATACACATACACACACCTGCCAGAGGCAAAAATAGTCATTAATTATCATTTGAAGATTTCATAGAGAGGAAGTACTCCAGGATATTTACAGCATCAGAACCAAACACCTGCTGAGATATGCACTGATAAGAGAACACTTCATACTTTAAACTTGAAAAGTCATAAAGAAAACATAATCAAAAAAATGTTTGTCTTTAATTTAAAAGAAATAAATGTTAAAATGTGCTTTAATATATAGTATATGTTAATGATAACTACAAAAACATAACTTATAAAAGTGTACACATTTTAATTATTTTACTCTATCAGAATATTTTAAGTAAATGGCCTATTTTAACGCTTTATGCTATTAGAATTTTTTTAATAGCATTAATCAGTTTTAAACTATAAATAAAATTATTTAATTTATTATTTAACAGTTTAGCAGCCTATTGCTGAATGTGTAGAAGCTTTTGTTAGCCACAAGATGGCAGCAAAACATTAATTATTCTAAATATGGGGCGCCAGAGCATAGGTGGATCTTCCAGAAGAGGGCAACAAACACTGCAAATGAGTTGCTTAACATTTTGTTAATATGTTAAAACATTAAATAAATAAATAAATAAATAAATAAATAAATAAATAAACATTCAATGCAGAAATATTTTGGCTTTACTTATAATGAAAACTCTGAATGATTTGGTTGAACGGACATTTTAATTACATTAAATTGTCTTGACAAAAAGCCAGAAATTAACCCAAATAATCATCAAAGCTATCCAAAAACATAATAGGCCTTCATGCTAGAATCATCGATGAGTGATGGAGATTTAAAATCTATTAACAACTATTAAAAGTGACAAACTGGCCATTTATTAACAATAAATTAAGATGAGGGATATTTAATATATGCAATATATATAAGCAAATAGATTTTTAAAAGTTCTTAATGTAAAACTTCAGTTGAATTATGGGTGGCACATCAAGGCTTTTGCTTTTTTTCCAAAACTTTTTGTTTGTAAACTCATCCAGGTTTCGCTAGAATAAAATCCAGTTTCTTATGAACACACTGTGCAAACACACTTCTTTACATTCCTAAGGGTCTTTAATGTACTCCCTACCTCATCATAGCTTTCTGATGTGTCATCTGCAATGAAATAATGAACAATCTAATGCAACAATCACACATAATTAAGTATAATTAAATATGCACAATAATTAAATAAACACAAATTAAATGAAGCTCATTCCATCTGCACTGGACTCTGTTCAGCCACACAACACATTCACCAGCACCAAAGGCTGAATTCCCATCAGCCCTCAGTGCTGCTCCACAACCCAGCTGCCTGCAGACCACCTGAGCATCGCTGATGTCCCAGAGATCATCACAGACTGAGCCCCACACAGCGTTATGATACACCTCCAGCCTCCCAGAGCACCGGCCGTCCCCTCCACGCAGTCTGAGAGGAACATGAGCTAAAACACACACATAATTAGTAACAACTAAATGTTTTAAACTATATTTTTTGATCAAATGCATAATACAACCTCTTAACCTGAACACTGTCTCTCGTAATGAGATGCTGAACATGTCAGATGACCTTGTCGTGACTCAATTACAACATTTCAAATTTTGACGGTGATCGAAACATATAATTTGACCATTGCTTCTTTATGTTTTGTATCTCTAATGTCTCATATTATAACACATTTTGTTAGTTATAAAAAACATTTACATTTTGTGCGAAGAATTCAATGTTTCAACAAAAGGGGTTGCAACTTTCCCCTATTTCAGGACAATAATGAAAACACAAATCAACTTGAAGTTTGATTTTATTGCTTATCAGAAAACATTCAAATCAATTCAACACAATCAAACTGGATTAAAATCCAAAACAGCTACTTAAAATAATACAAACATAAAGTCTCAATATTAAAAAGTGTATACAAACAATGTCTGATTGCCAGAAACTTCCTCTGCTAAACACAAAATGAACAATAAGCTCTGCTAGTTTAAAGGAGTTATTACATTCTTATAAAGATCCCAATGTTCACTGTTTGTCATCATATTTCTCA